GGTGGGCGAGAGGGGGAGAACAGGGGATTCTGTGGCTATTATGTTGAACTGAATGGTGTTGTAAAATAATAATAATAATAATTAATAATAAAACCAAAAAAAAATTAATGAATTATTTACTGTGGTACTAATAAAAGCCATGAAAAAGTATGTGGAATGGTCATTTATTGCTGCACCATAAATTAACTTGAAACAGTATAGAATTATAGAACAATTCACATTTATGGTTTTTCAGTTTTCCTGAGACAGGAGTACAGTTTTGGTTTTGCTGAGTGGTTCCAACACAGGCTATCCAATGTAAATTAATATCAATTCCCATTTCTGATGCACTGAATGTTGGAAAGGACACAGCGAGACAGTCAGTTTCATAATAAGGTGATGATTTAAGGGCTATAAATCTTGGGGAAAAAGTTTTAAGTACATGAGTCAAAAGTTTAAAGTTCTTTATACAACAGAACAAGGCTTTCTGGTGCCAATGAAATTTTTCTTTTGTTACATTTTATAAAAAATTCTTGTTTAAGGATTATAAATAGAAAAAATCTCTTAAATACAATAATAGAATATATTGTGACATGTTGAATTAACCAAAGTGTTTAAAATAATGCTTATAAGGAATCTGTATGGCTAAAGACTTGAATGGTAAATTAAAAAGAATCTTGTGAAACTATATTTTCTGTATAAACATTTGTATCAGGTCCTAATGTACTTTTTTATTTTTTATTATTATTTTTCATTTTTCTTTAGTTTTTTGCCTAATGCATTTTAAAGAATATAATGGAATATTTAAAAGTTCTCTCCTTGGTTATGTCTGAATAGGAGAGGATTGTGCTTGTTTGTTTGTTTTTTCCCTGTCTCTTTATAACATTGTCCATTGCTCTGGGACTTGCAAACAGCAATGCCGTTTTCCTGCATTCAGATAGTACCCCTGAAATAACTGAGAACAATATACTGAAGTGTGAAGATCATTCTCTCAAGAAAGAGAACTCAGGAGGAGCAGGGGATGGGATGGTCTGAGGATGAGCTTCAGGACTGTTAAAGGGGTCATTTACTATGTTCTATTGTCCACATCTCATAGAAAGACTGAAGTGAGTGTGGCAATCCTCACTGGAGTCTATCTGGTCCCCATTATTCTCTCCATGGTAGTTAGAGGAAAGGAGAGTGAAATGACCGATTCTCTGTTGAATTTTGGAGGATAAGTTGGTAATTCAAAGCTCAAGCACTCTATCTTTTCTTTCCTTTGTGAGTGGGATATTTTCAGGGAATATCTGTTAGTTTTCTTCTCTTTTAGATGGTAGTTGCTCACGAGTGAGGTTTTCCCCATTTACTGTTCATTGTGAGTTAAAGGGTCGTCTTTTTCATTCAGGCATTAAGCATAAAGAATCTGACGTCTCAGAAAGCAAGTTATTTTATCAAATCACAGTTTTGTTAGTAATAATACCAGGGATTTGATATTCTTTTGCTGAGTTCTAGTCTCAGTTTTGATTGATTTAAATCCTAATTGAGGAGAACCCTTACTTCCATTCTCGCTAATGCTCTAAGGAACAGCAACTATGTCAGTCTTTCTTAATGAGTCTAATGCCAGCTCCTGACTTGCCATGATCTAGAATTGTAAATGGAATTATGACTATTCTAGAGGCTTAGTTGCTTAAAACATTTTCCGTTTTCTGTTCTTTAGGTAGGATCACTGTTGGACTCTCATGATCTATGACACAGAATGTGGACACAGTTCAGAAAGAGGTTGCTTTCAATTTCAGATAAGCAATACCAAACATGGGAAATAAATTCAAGGATATGTAGGTGAGAAAATAATATAGGAGTGAGGATGACTCTAAGGAGTGGAGAAAGCCCTTGATGAGTGATGTCCTGAGTGGTTGTGCATTTTATGACATGGGCACAAGCATTTCAAGGACTCTAAGGCTTTGGACTTTTGGGAAATTGGCAAAGCCATTACCCATTTGGGCTTGACTCAAGAAGAATGGCAAAGCTTTCATCCGGAGTCCAAGTATCAGTATTTATGGATGACTGAACATTGTGTATAAAGACTGGCAACTTCAGCTTCTTCCTCTAGGATGTTTACAGTCTGAGAGGCTCATCTATGGGATCTCCTACTAAGAAGAGCTAACCTCTCTCTCTGTTCTGTGCCTAATAAACATGCTGAGGTTCTGGGTTGCAGAGATAACTGACTCCCGGTGATTCCTGCTTCACTGCATGTATATCTGAGTGCCTGTCCTTTCTTCATCAGCTCTCAGTCAGGTTCTGGGATTCATGAGATACTGCAGAAACAGAAGCTTTTGTATCAACTTATAATAAATGTCTTCCTGATATGCTTCTTTTGAAGCAGAATAAGATTAATACATAGATGTTGTCAGTACAATAAGCCAAAAGGCGAATTGTAACTGCTATGTAAGTGTAGGGCAGTGTAAAGAGAACATATACAATACAATAAAACTATAATAGCCCAATTAAATAATTATTGTTGGTAATAAAATGTTATTAAAAGTGATATTTGTAAGTGCTCTATGAATTGGTAACTATTATTAGTAGCTGTTAAAAACACTGATGGTGCTAAGAGTTAGAATGAGGGATGAAGGAGAATTGCAGAAACACCAAGAAAAAGCTAAAATCTGTTTGTTTCCATAGAACTGTATTTTTCACACTAATTTGTATTTCTAGTTGCTTAACTGCATTGTCTGTTTAGCTACATAAAGAGTGTATGGCCTCTGGGACAATAAAGACCCTCTCCGGCGGGGCGATGGTGGTGCATGCCGTTAATCCCATCACTTGGGAGGCAGAGGCAGGCAGATCTCTGTGAGCTCAAGGCCAGCCTGGGCTACAGAGTAAGTTCCAGGAAAGGCACAAAGCTACACAAAGAAACCCTGTCTCAAAAAACAAGCAAACAAACAAACAAGCAAAAAGACCCTCTCCTTACAAGTGGACATGTGATGTTGGTCTTTAACACAGAGATTTGGAGGAAGTAGAGACAAAGAAGGAGTCTTGCAGTAGCTATGAAATGAAGAAGTGCTTGTGGTCTCTATGCTTTAATTAAATATTAACATTGCATTCCAAATTCAAATTAAAGAGAGGTATAGCCAGTGTAGGTTTCAGGATGTCACCAAGGGAAGTTAACTGTCACAAGGCTTCACAAAGTACCATGCTGAGTTGATGGTATAGTCATCACTGTTCAAGTTTTAGAAACCTGTATATATATTTTTTTCTTTTGGTACAAAAGAATTACAGTAACTAACTTTACCAAAATGATGCATAATATAAAAATTACATATATATCATAAAAATATTATATGTTAATTTAAAAAGAAAATGAGTTTTACATATAAATTTCAATTTTTTTAAGTTTTAAGACATTCTTCCATTAATTTGCATACAAAGACATTTTCTTTTGGCATCTTCACAGTGCTTAACACTCTCCACAATCCATTCTTCTTCCCCATCTCTGTTCCATGCTCTACTTGTACCATTCTTCCTTCGAATCCCACCCTTTCAACTTTCTTTTCACAACTTCTGTTTCTCTTCACACCCCCTTCCTTAAAGTCTCTTTTCCCTCATCTTGTGAGACCTGTTCTAGTTTCATGACATCTGTGTACACTAAACCTCACATAACCCCATATGTAATAATTAAAAGCATGACCTATATATTAGAGAGAACATGCAGCAATGGACATGGATAAGTAGATATCTCTGTGGTCGGATACAGAGTCTTTGGGTATGGCTGCATCATACAGTAGTTCTACTTTTATTTTGGTGTGTAGAATGTGTGCTGCTTATACAAGCAGGCAGATCAAAAACCTGAAGAATGCTTGATGGGGAAGAAACAATGACCTCGACCTGCCTCTCCCATTAGCCATCATTTCCACTTCTTGAATAAGCTCTTGATCTGTACCACTTTCCTTCTTAGTCTATTTTTAGAGTGAAGTAAGAGTGATCTTATTTATAACAGGAAAAGCTGTATAGTTTTGCTCCCACATAAAACTGTAATAACTTGCCACTGGGGGCAGAAAAACTAACCCTTTGTGCTCCCTAAAAATAATTCTCTGCATATTATGACCTACACTTATCTGGAGAGAATATTTTATCTGAGATGACTGAGTTTTACATCCACATGTTTGGATATAAAACCACTAATATTGAAATTCCTGGTGAAAAACATTTTTATTGTGAGTCTGCAAGTATCCAGATGATATTCCCTCTTCATCACAGAAATTATTTTATATTTCCTTTTAACAATGCAGTTTTATTTTCTAGCAGAACTACCTGTTTGTAAAACCATTTATCTCCAAATAGGCATTGGCACTGTCTGTTAATGACAGATCAGCTGATGGGGATTTGGAGGAGTCTGAGGACCTGTGTGTGCATATTTCCCCACTTGATATAGAGTAAACTCTAAATATCAACACTCTTCAATGTGAAGTAAAATCACAACACATTTCCTATTTCATGGATTTTAATTTTAGATAAAGTAGGATCAGAAAGTAAAAATATCAGACCCAAGATGCACACAGAACATTATTTTTAAAATGAAGCAATACCAAATGAATGTGGTAAGTAATGATTCGGCAACCTTAGACTCTATGGCTG